TCAGCTGGGCTTGGCGTAAGTGGAGCGGTGCACTCAACAGCAAAGGCAATGGGGAAAACGGTTCTCAAAACGGGGGCGGCGTTTTCAGCTGAGTCATCCAAACCCCTGTCGAAAAACATATGAAAACGCCTCCCATAGACATGCTTCCGATTAGTGGCTTATCTATGGGAGAGTGGACGGGATCCCGAGTTTTCCACTATCTATGGCCGTATGTTCTTATGACCAGCACACACACCACTTATGAAGAACAATGGCCCGCAGAGAGTGCCTAAGACTGGTTTGATTCGCATTGTCCAAAGACCCACAAAAAAACGAAGAAAACGGGGGTAGAAGGATGCACGAAAAACAAAACAAAAGATCAGAAAACATACAACACCAGGGATTCGCTGGTCGTCACCGACCCAACTACTAGTCTGGCCCTCACTGGCTTATCTATGGGAGAGCGGACGGGATCCCGAGTTTTCCAGTGGGTATGGTCGTATGTATAGATTCTGCCTTTTGCTTTGCATTATATACGTTTTTCTAGTATGTTCATATGACAGGGACAGGCGTGCACTATGGCTAAGTCCGCCAAACCACCAAAAGTAGATGACGCTTTGCTTGCAAGGCAGAACTCGAATTGCACACTATATAGCCAGCACCACGGGTAACCCCGTGACAGTTCAAATGTCCGCTTTGTTACTTGGTGTTGCGATGTTGCTACTGGTGCCATGGTCTGTCATTAGGGTGATGGTAGGTAGGTAAAGCTAGATAGAGCCAGGATGTCTTTCTTTTCTTTTCTTTCGTTTTCTTTTTCTTTCTTCTGTCACTGTGGAATATGCGATCTTGACAACAAAGAACATGAATGAACCGGTTCATTTCATCCTGTGAGGAGCCTGCTTGATTGGAGTAGATAGGTAAGTGATACATCGAGTCGGTAGATGTAGGCAAATTGGTGGTATGGGTGGGTTATGCGAAGAGGGTCGGCTGTGTGAACCGAGAGTGTAGATACCTGCCTGTGGATGTGTTGATTCATAATGGATACAGCATGATACCCATGTCCGACCGGAGACTGTGTATATACCTAGGTAGGTTCCGATAATGCCCGCCCGGCATTTGAACGGATGTTGGTGTTCCTATTGTCTCATGGTCTTACGTATCCCTTGACTTCCGTTGAAAACTTGAATGAGGAACTCGATGATCGCGTGCAACATTGATTAGCCTTGATGCATCTTTTCCGTTGTCGGAGTATGCTCGTTATCGTGAACCATGCTGCTTCGTGTGATCTCCGTGGTGCGTTGCCCCATGCTTGATGAAGAGTCCTCGCCGGAGACGAGGGTCAACGGCTACAAAGTAATGGCAAGGAACCTAACCGTTTGATCAACCCCGATGAGGCCGTTGCCTATGGTGCTGCCGTTCAGGCCGCCATTCTTTCCGGCGATACCTGTTCCAATGTGAACATGAAGGTTAGACAGAGCACATCACATCACATGCACCATGTTCGAATAAGTCGACTTATTTTGAACAATCATAAAATGAATTGTCTTCATCAAAAGGAAAATGTGATAACCATGGGAATCGTTATTAAATACAAAGCCATGCAAGTGATTCGTTTTTGCCATCCATCCTTCCTCTCCGTTCATTCCATAACACTTTTTCCCCTCTTTTGTTCTCTCTTCATGATGAGACGGACTGAGACTGCAAAAGCAAAAGCAGATCTAGGCCTTGTGACTTAAAACCCATACCCGTTTAACTCCGCATTAGTACCTAAGACCACACCATTGTGCGATCGATCGATCGTTCCAATCTACTGCGCAAAAGTGTGAAATAAAAAAGGGAAATAAGAGAGAAAAGAAAAAAGCCGATGAGGATGCATTAGTTCGGGTCGTGGACGAATGCATTTAGTCGACCTCCTCGACGGTGGGGCCGTCGTTGGAGTCGGCGCCGGGCTGGCCGCCGGGGAAGCCGCCGGGAGCAGCACCGGGCATGCCACCGGGGGGAGCACCACCAGCACCGTAGAACTTCATCATGATGGGGTTGGCAACAGCCTCGAGCTCCTTCTGGTGGTCCTCGTACTCCTCACGAGTGGCCTGCTGGTTCTCGTCGAGCCAAGCGACGATCTTGTCGATCTCGGTCTTGAGCTTCTCCTTGTCGGCAGCATCAAGCTTCTCGTCGACCTTGGAGTCGCCGAGGGTGTTACGGAGAGAGTAGGCATACGACTCAAGGCCGTTCTTGGCAGCGACACGCTTGCCCTCAGCCTCATCCTCATCCTTGAACTTCTCGGCCTCAGCAAGCATGCGCTCGATCTCCTCCTTGGACAGGCGGCCCTTGTCGTTGGTGATGGTGATCTGGTTGGTCTTGCCAGTACCCTTCTCAAGGGCAGAGACGTTCATGATACCGTTGGCATCAACATCGAAGGTAACCTCGATCTGGGGGACACCGCGGGGAGCGGGGGAATGCCGGTAAGCTCGAACTTGCCGAGGAGGTTGTTGTCCTTGGTGCGCTGACGCTCACCCTCGTAGACCTGAATAAGGACACCGGGCTGGTTATCGGAGAAGGTGGAGAAGACCTCGGACTTCTTGGTGGGAATGGTGGTGTTGCGGGGGATGAGCTTGGTCATCATGCCACCAGCGGTCTCAATACCGAGGGAGAGAGGGGCAACGTCGAGAAGGAGAATCTCGGAGGTAGACTTGGAGGAGGTATCGCCGGAAAGAATGGCGGCCTGAACGGCAGCACCATAGGCAACGGCCTCATCGGGGTTGATCGAGCGGTTAGGCTCCTTCCCGTTGCTATGTAGCCGTGAGTTAGTTTATGTTCAAAATTTCGGGCTCCTTCCCATTGTCTTTTTTTTTTTTGTGCGGGAAAACTTACAAGTAATCGCTGATGAGCTTCTGGATGCGGGGAATACGGGTGGAGCCACCGACGAGAACGATCTCGTGAACCTGGGACTTGTCGATCTTGGCATCGGTCAAGACACGGTCAACAGGCTGGATGGTGGAGCGGAAAAGGTCCTGGCAAAGCTCCTCGAAGCGAGCACGGGTGATGGAGGTGTAGAAGTCGATACCCTCGAAGAGAGAGTCGATCTCAATGGAGGTCTGGGCGGAAGAAGAGAGGGTACGCTTGGCACGCTCGCAAGCAGTGCGGAGACGACGGAGGGCACGAGCGTTGGTAGAGAGATCCTTCTTGTGCTGTGAGGGGGTTAGCATCTGACATTATGCGTTGGAAACGATGTTATATGCCATGAGCTCAATGTTTTAGGCATCGAACTGGATGCTTTAGGCATTAAGCTCATGGCTTGAGGCATCACTAACCTTGCGCTTGAACTCCTGAACGAAGTGGTTGACGAGACGGTTGTCGAAATCCTCACCACCCAAGTGAGTGTCACCGGCAGTAGACTTGACCTCGAAGATACCCTCCTCAATGGTGAGGAGAGAGACATCGAAGGTACCACCACCGAGATCGAAGATGAGGACGTTGCGCTCACCCTCAACCTTCTTGTCGAGACCGTAGGCAATGGCGGCAGCGGTGGGCTCGTTGATGATACGGAGAACGTTGAGACCGGCAATGAGACCGGCGTCCTTGGTGGCCTGACGCTGAGAGTCGTTGAAGTAGGCGGGAACGGTGACGACGGCGTTGGTGACCTGGCCACCGAGGTAGGCCTCGGCGGTCTCACGCATCTTGGTGAGGACCATGGAGGAGATCTCCTCGGGGGTGAAGGTCTTGGTCTCGCCCTTGAACTCGACCTGGATGACGGGCTTGCCGGCGCGGTCGATGATCTTGAAGGGGAAGTGCTTCATATCGGCCTGAACCTCAGCATCGTTGAACTTGCGACCGATGAGACGCTTGGCATCGAAGACGGTGTTGCTGGGGTTCATGGCGACCTGGTTCTTGGCGGCATCACCGATGAGACGCTCGGTGTCGGTGAAGGCGACGAACGAGGGGGTGGTGCGGTTACCCTGGTCATTGGCGATGATTTCGCAACTGGAGGTGTGTTAGTGAATTGCCTTGCTTCATGATCCTTCTTCAAGGTGAGGCCAAGGTGACCAAAACTTACCGATCCTCACGGAAGACACCGACGCAAGAGTACGTCGTACCGAGATCAATACCGACGGCGGGAGCCATTTTGAATGTGTGTGATGTGCTGAAAAAGGGAAATGGGTATCGTTATGAGAGAAAAAAGAGAAAAAAGAAGTTCGTTTTTGCGTTGGATGATGAATATGAGAATGCTTTCAACAATTCCCAAGAGTGTGACGGGAAAAAAAAGAAGAGTCGAGGTGGATTTGCGTTGGATGGGGGGAGTCGCAATTATTTGTTTGAAGAACAGTGAGTGGTCTGAGAAAGAAAGGTGGGCTGTGGAGGGGCAGACGGAGCTCCAGAATTTAAGTTAGTGGTCGAGCTTGGTCGTTCTTGCTTCTACGAGCTTCTGTTACTTTCCTAACCCCACTACGCCGGAGTACATCAGGGTACTTGTGCGCCGCCGGGCGCATTCCGTCGCATCCTGTCGCATCCAGTCGCATTGGCTGGTCGCAACCCGCACCAACCGGTTCCCGCGAGCAGCCTCCAGATGGCAATCGAAGCTTCTTTCAGGCGCCATTCACCACCATCTCTTTCTTCTGTTTAGCAGTGATCACCGCCTGCATTTGATGCAACTAATTTGATCTGTCAAAAGGTGGTTGAGATGGAGAGTACGTACTTGCGCCTGGGTTGAGAGAGGTACGTACCCAGGCTCACCGGCACTGTGTACCTCTAGGTATTGGCGCGCAAATGGGGCCCGTTCGCTTCCCGCCAAGCCAAATGGAGACAGCTTCTTAGGTACCTCAACCTTCACTGCAGGGTCACAATCGGAGGTGGACGCCAAGACAAGGCTCGAAGGTGAATTGCCCCAGACTTCACCATGATTGCCATGTTGAACGAAAAAGGGACTTCCATGTGTTCCGAATCTGTCAGCCCATGGTTCGCCCCATAGATCCAGCTAGACGGCTCTCGCATGACGCCGTGTTCTGCCCTACGGCCAGTCGGCCCTGTCAACCTGCCTTGAGGCTGGATGTTGGATGTCAGGCAGTCAGGGTATGGTCAACAGGGGACCTCGTGGACCATCTCGTCGAGGAGTTGTAAAGAGGTTGCCGCTTGGAAAGGAGTTCTTTGCATTATTGATGATGCCAGGGTGGTGGTTCTTAGTTGCCGTTTGCTGTCTACTCTGTGGTTTCCCCATGTTTTTGTTTACATTGCCCCTTTTTCTAGATTCCCACATCACCAGTTTCCAACTGCGCCTACTCTCCCCTAAAACATTGTATATCTCATGTACTGATCTTGCATTTCATATCAACAGCCTCTTCATCTCTGTGTCAGTCTTTGTTGTCAACGGCCTCCTTCAGTTAGTGGTAGAAACAAGGAGGCCCCCTAAGCTAGCTCTGTCGCAAACCGGTCGCAAAATGCGGCTGTGTGTTCTCCAGCCTGTGTGCGTGTGAATGCCCGCTGGTGCTGTGTGTGGTTGTGGAGTGCGCATTGCCGCCCGTTGGTTTGTGACTTTGTGCGGTTGCGCGGGCATTGGCGTTTGCGATGAGTTTGGTTCTTAAAGTTGCGACAGGTTTCTACAAGTACCGCCATGTACCTCGCTGCAAAACTCAGTCCTTGAACTCACCCTTGCATCATGGGCGAGCTGGCAGTGGATTGTGGGGTTTCTGTTCACGGATGGAAACCTTGAACAACAGCTCGACAGTCATGAATGACGGTCTCAATGCCTGATTTTCTGACCAAGAAATCCGAGGGTCCCGGGTCTGAGCATTGACAAGGTTCCAGACTGCTTTGGCGATAGCATCATACACTACCTTCTGGAGAGTGAAGTTTGGCTGCCTCTTCATTGCACTGCATTGAGCTCTTTCCCCTATTTTTTACCATTCTTTCAGCTCCAGAAGATGAAAGAAGCCCGAGTCGGGGCGGGTTCTCCACCAACCAACCCCACGGCATTCCAGCATTGCCCACCCGGCCCCACAGCGGCGCATGAAGTCATGGCTGCCCGCTGCGCTGCTGCGATAAGATAAGGCACTACTAGCGCGCCCACGGCCCCGCAGTTTGATGATGAGCCAGAGGGGCAAGTGGAAAGGAAGGAGGGGCAAATGAGAGCCGCATCGGAGGGGGAGCTGAGAATTGGAAGGAAGAGTCACTGCAGAAAGAAAGAAGCCTCTCGTATTACTGCACCGGGGCTTGATCCTAGTCCTCCTCCTATCCCTTGAATCAAAGTTCCCGTCAGTCATCTGTCCAACTCCATCCAGCATCATCGAGGAAGACGAGCTTTGACCGCGCGACCGCATCTCGCCGTTCCGTCAACCGCTTTCGTGATACCTACTTACATTTCCACTTGTCCTTTTTGAGACAGCCTTCTCAGGACAAACTTGTCGCATCACTTCGCGCGCAATTCCAGAGCGCGTCGCATTCCTTCCTCCATTGTCCCGTTGCATCGCATCGCAACAAACGCTGCCCGAGAACCCCAAGTCTACCGCCCGTCATGTTGATCAAGGAGAGCTACGCGGACGTCAAGACCTCTGCCAATGGCAAGGAGTCGACGATGAGTTAGTCAATTCACCTCCTTGCCTCGCACGTCGAATGCGCCCCGTCCACATCTCGAATTCCACGCCTGTCGCATACCTGCCTCAGGTAGTCTAGCTTGCCGTATCTAATGCGCCGAACAATAAAACAACAGGAATCTTCCTCTTCCACCCAACCATTGCCGGATATCCCAATGCGTGAGCACCATCGTGACATCTAGACATACTTACGTACATGCATGGTCTCATACCTCTCTTCGATTTGCAGGCGCTTCCCCGGAGTTGCCCTCTTCAGCGAAATCTACCAAGGTCAGAACGGTCCGGATCCATATCCCCAAGAGCTCGCTCCCTACAGCTACAATACATACATGTCCCACAGACCCTGAGGGGAAATGGAGCTGTTCGAGCTCCAATCTGGAGAATGAACCACGCGGGGTTCTTTGCGGACAGATACTCCGGGCGCAGGGGAACCTTGATAGCTGGTACCGATGACCACCAAAAGCTGACAACAGCGTCTTTGCGCCAACGAACAGTGACCGGCCCCGTTGCCCGCTTCGCCCGCCAAATCGCCGGTCAAGGCTACATCGTCGCCGCCCCGAGCAGCTATCACGACTTTACCGGCCCCGAGCCTCTCGCCTACGATGTTCCCGGCACCGATCAAGGCAACGAGTGGAAGGTAGTCAAGACTTTAGACTCGTACGATGAGGACTCGCGCAGCACGGTCGACTACCTCCTGTCTCTGCCGACCTGCACCGGGCGCATTGGCGCGACGGGCATGTGCCTGGGAGGACATCTTGCCTTGAGAGCTGCTGTATGTCTCCCACTCCTGCCTGTTACCTCTGAGCTCCAGAACTAACCTTGTTTCGCCAGCTCGACCCTCGTATAACCGCCGCCATTCCCTACTTCGGCACCGACATCCACTCGCGCACCCTCGGCCCCAACGATGGTCCCAATACCTCCCCTACCGCTCCCGCTCCTCGCCCTGACTCGACAACCGCGTCCGGTTTCGTTGCTCCTCACACCATCGACCAGTTCGAGAAGCTCCAGCACTGCGAAGTAGCCTTGATCTTTGGCATCAAGGATACACACGTGCCCGACGCCGGTCGTGATCTGATCCGCGCCAAGCTCAGAGAAGCCGGAGTGACATTCAGCTTCTACGAGTTCGCGTGGGCGCAGCATGCGTTCATCAGGGACGAGTTGAGCAAGGGACGGTACGATCCAGCCATCACCAAGGTCTGCTTCGAGGTATTGTTGGAGACTTTTGGACGGGTGTTGAAGACGGACCTGGGTCAGGGAACGGGGGAGAAGGAGGAGGTGGAGCACGTCTGTTAGGTTGGTTGAACAGTGACAGACGAGAAGGAAAAGCGACAAGTCAACGTTAACGAGCATCCCGTAGCGTATACTACTACTGGAAGGAAAATGGAATTCCAGATTTTCCACCTGTTTTTTTCTCTTTTGCCGGCAAACAAACATATCAAGAGACAGCAGCAGACGCCAAAAGCTCCCCAGAGACGACACCGTTCCTCATTGTCTTTGCAATCGGATATTTGACGACCTGAGACCATCAGCGAGAAAGATACAAGAGAGAGGGCCAACGAAGAAAGTCAGCGCCAATGATATGGAAGGAAGTATCACCAGTTGTTCACACGGTCGATATCTGAACTTGGTGAAACTGGAACTCCCCGAACGATAGTAACAAACATTTTAGCGCTCCCTCTTATTCTCCGTCTTCGTCCCCCTTGCCCCCCTGCCCTCACATTCCACCTCCAGTCAAGTCAAATCCAACCCCCTTACTCCAGTCCAAAACTCCAGACTCCAGAGTCATATCGTCCCCCACAAGAATCCCTCCGCTTGCATAGAGCCTCCACTCACATACATGTAGTTCCATGTCAACCACTTTTAGTATCTTAGGTACCTTAGTTAGCACCACTCTGCCCCCTCCTCACACACCTGATCCTCTTCCCGGGGAACTTTTTTGTCCAGGTTATTGCACCCGTTAGGCAGCGTGCCCAGGTTCTCGCCCACGCACGCGCCTCCGTTGTCGGTGCGTCCCACTTTCCCCGTGTAGGCGTACCATTTGGGCCCGGAGTTGGTGATGTAGACCGAGTGGCTGGTGTCGTCCATGGTTACCACGCCGAGGTTGGAGCGGGCGTGGCCGTAGTTGTAGGTTTTGCTGAAAGGGGGGAGGGGTGTTAGTATGTGGTAGGTGGGAGGAAAGGGGTAGGAGGAGGAAAGAGGCAGGAGGAAGGAAAGGGGCAGGAGGAACGAAGGAAAGGGGAGCACTTACCAGTTACCATCCTTGTACTCGTTAGCCTTGGGGTTGGTGGCAGAGACCACGGAAGCCGAGGCAACAGCGAAAGCGAGGAGTGAAAACTTCATGATTTTTGAGGTTTTGTTTTCGGCTTTGGTTTTCTTTTGAGATGATGAGTTGAAGTGTAGCAGGTAGCAAATGCTGGTTGGACGTGTGTTCTTGGTTGTCTGGTATGAAAAGCGAAGAAGAAGAAAGCTGGATGGAGGATGGATGGATAATGAAGAAAAGAAGAAAAGTAACGTTGATGAGAGGGACGCCTCGTGGTTTACATACCTCCCGTCTATATTCATCTTCAAACCAGCATCTGCCTTTCCTCCCCCCAGAACAGACGAAGAAAAGCCAGAACAGTTTAGGTTCAATGGTTCCACTCTTGAGGAAGTATGTCGATGTCAAATCCCCGACGGACGGCTTCCTGAGTCTAACCCATCAAATCAGATCAACGACATCGGCATGCAGGCCCCTACCTCTAGTAGGCATCAAGAAAACCCCATCCACGATCCTCACTCAGTCTTAAGACCGACGGGGAATATACCTAAGGTACCTAACATGGATTCCCTTCTTGGCAGCCTGCCCTAGCTAGAATATATGGCTTTGAAGACCCTGGATTCTCCAAAATTACCTGTAAACCATCGTTCGGCTGGCTACGTGCCGCTGAACATGCTCACTCAATCCCTAACTCTACGAAACCGTATGTTTGGCGGTCATATCAAAGTCTGGTGTTACCTCTACCTACCAACCTTACCGACCTGCCAACTCCCGGAGGAGACCACACCAGCCTTTTGCTGGAGGCGTGTCAGCCCTACGTTGAGACTAGAGCTTAGCCAAGTCTAGCCAAGTCTAAGTGTAGCAAGTCTTGTTAAAGACAGCGGATTGGAGGATGATATTCTAAATACCTGATTGGCTGGTACGTGCGTGTCTCTAGTGTACTAGTGTACTAGTGTACCTTACGATTAGCCGCGACGACTCCGACGACTGGACCCCAGACTCAAGAACTCGAGGAATGATGCCAATGGTGTTTAAGGCGGAGTTGGGTCTGAGACAGCGGTCTAGTCTAAGCAAGCTAAGGTACGTGTAGATAGGTGTCGGTCGGTCGGTTGGGTGTGGCGTCTTTTGTTTGGACAGCTATTACGCGAAGATGTTGCATGTAAGGAAAAAGGGGCAAAGGCTACACTAGGTACGAAGGAAAGCAGTAAGCACAGGTGGATCTGGAATTGGAAGGGATCGGAGAATAAAGATTATTATCAGTGGGGACTTGAAGGAGGACTTCGAAAGCACTGGATGAAAGACGTCCGTGTCGGGAAAAGGGGATCTTCAATTGTTGAGGACTGGAGGTGAAAATTTAGTCTAGGGGTTGGATTGATAGGTATCTTGGTCAAGTCATTTGTTTCCCGGTTGGCTTGGCTGTACAGTGCGCCTAAATGGTCTTGGCGCTAGACGTCGTTCCCTCGCTCGAGGTTTTTCATTGAATCTTTTCTCGTGTGAACGTGCATCCGACGACGACAACACGACGTGGCTGAACACTCTTTCTTTTTTTCATCAAGGAACAAACAAACATTGTGGGGGTTTTGGTGTGTATTGTGTGGACTCTGCTTTCATATTAACACCTAGCCAAAGAAACAACTTCGCTGTGAAATCCCCCGTTCCAGTCCGCCAAAGCTCAACCAAACCGTCAAAGCCACTCGCTTTCTATCTTTTACCTCCTTTCACAAGCCGCAGTCCGCACGCAGTCCTTCCCTGGTCGAGCCAATCCATAGTTCCCCACTTTACCCAATCACCTCCTCCTCTTCAGAACGGATATCTACTGCTTATTTATCTTTCACGAACATCTGCATATTGGCCCCAAAACGGTTCTTGCGTAGACCCATGTTTGAGCCCTGCCCTGGACCAGACCGACCTGGTGTTCCCAGATGTTGACGATCGTCTCATTACCACCACTTCCCTATTCTTCTCAGCAACACCCTCTCATTGCTCGCTAGAAGAAATCCCAATATGAAGTCAGCAACACAGTCAACGAAACAAGGCATTGGGCAAAGGCAGGTATAGTCAGAGGCAAAAGATGTCCTTACACAACAACGGTCCCGTTCCAATCTCATCCAGGCATGGGCCAACGCCATTCGTGTTCGTGTCTATCACCTTGATCACACCCGCGTCAAACCACCACACCGAGGCTCCGTCCCGAACCAGTTGAATGTACACGTGCCAATCGCCGGCGTCTTGGAAGCGAAGGCCAGAGAGAACGAGGGATCGCTGGCCTAGAGTGTCCTCAACGGGGATGGCGTTGAGGCGGGTGTGGAAGTAGATGACGGCTGCGTCTCCGTTCACGACGACAGCTGAGGGCGGGTTGAGTCCGTTGACTGGCCCCCCGTTGAATAGATTGGCTGGGTCGATCGGGGCTAGGTTGACTGGGGTGGCAGGGTTCCCGTTGAGAGGAAAATTGACTTGGCTAGCTGGGGCTCTATTGACTGCGTTCCACCCGTTGATTAGGTCGGCCAGGTCGAATGTGATGACATCGCCTGGGGCTGGATCGACTGGGTTCACGTCGACTGGGTTGAACAGATCAACTCGGTTGAGTTGGCGGGCTGAGGGTGGGTCGACGCATGCGTTGATGAAGGCATTGATGTTCTGGGCCTGGGCTTGGTTCTGGATATACTAGATCAAGTTCTGGATGCGGTTTTGGATCTGGTCCTGGCTGTCGTTTGGGCCGTTCATCACCGCCCCTGCGGCGGTATCTGTACCAAGAAGCTTGGTGGCGTATGCGTGGATCGAAAGCCCTCCAAACCGCGCTTCCTGGGCGGGGAGCCGGATTACGGCCGGATTGCAGCTGTCATCCTCGAACTTGTCGAGGATCGAGTTGCGGAGCGGGATGAGGATGATGGGAGTAGTGGGAAACGGAAGAGGGGAGAGATCTATAGGGGGAGCCCCGGACTGGGGGTTGGAGGGTTCCGAATGTCGTGGTGGTGGGGAGCTTAGAGGTTGCTGCGGGGGGGACATGTTGGATTTAACGGGGTTGTGGTTGTGATTGAGAGTGGTGTCTGGTTGGTAGCCTGAGATCACAATCTGGCCGTGATGTTTTGATGATGATGATAATGATGGACCTGAGCTGATGATGGTATTGGTGCTGGTCGAGATAGTTGACGTGCTCTGGGTTGATGTTTTGCTAGCTGATGTTCTGAACTTGGATGATGATGATTGGGGGAAGAAAACATCAGAGAGGAATCTGATGCCCTCCTGTGCCTGCCTGGTGTGCCCAGCGGACGGACCAGACGCATGGAACTGTGGCAGGGGCAGTCTGGGACCTTTGGCGGGCGACCAGCCGTTCCTCCAATTCCACTTCTATCCCATCTCATCCCCCAATCTCCGCCTGCCCACAACGGAACCTGCCAACCACTCGATCCCGTCGATAACCAGGGCACTCACTGTCTTATAACCCGTAATTCCGTAGCTCCTTCCAACAACCAGCCAACGACCCTCGGGTCGGATAGCGTAAAAAGTATTGCCGTCCCAGCTCTGCAAGTCCCACCCCGTCCGCCTTCGAGTTCGATTCGCGGCCGGGGCAGATCATGAGGTTCTTTTCAACAAAGACAAAAACGGCCGACAGCGTGCTATCCATGTCGTACACCGCGGGACTTGTACACTAGCGGCACTACTGGGCTATCCGTTGGCCTCTCTTCTTTTGTTCTTTCTTCCTGTTTCTTTTGGTGGAGGTTTTGACATGGCCGTGAGTCGAAGGATCAAAGATGGAAGAAAGTGCGAAAGAAGCAGATCAAGAACGGAATAATACAGTATCTTCATTCCGTACGTTAAAATGTAGAGGTACCTTAGTTTCAGTCCAACGATCACAATGTTCACAACCAGCCCAGCCCCATGTCGCCGTTCGGTAGGTAGGTAGCTCACCTAAACTCTTCCGAGACTACCACCACACCCCGATATTCCTCAGCAACTGCTTCTCCCGCTCCGCTGACGGGAGGTACAAACACTTCATCAGCACTCCCCCAACACCGAAACACAAACCCTCAGAGGCTTAGAGGACGGGAAAGGCAAAACAACTTACACAAATACGGACCATCCCTAACATCAACAAACCCAATCTCAACCTGCACATATCCCGCCGAAATCCTCCACAGGTTCTCCCCAGTCCGAAACACTACCCCGTACAACTCCACCCTCCACCGTCCAACCTCACTCAAACTCAATCCGTTCAAAAGAATATACCCTCTCCAATTTGCGTCCTGAACCGGAGTCGAATTCAGCAGGACATCCACGGCAGATGCCATAGGGTTGGGGTCATCGGTGTTGGTTGCGCGGGTGTAGACGCGAAGATTGGTCGGCTGGTAGAAGGCGGGGAGTTGGAGGACAGCGTTGTTGCAGGCGGGTTGGTGGGTGTGGATGGGAGTGCGGAGGGGGATGAGGAGGGTGGGGTGGGACATTTTCGAAGCTGAGATGCGGTTTGGTTGATGGGAGTATTGTTGGTGGTCAAGGTGAAATTGATGTTGGTGAATCTCGTGTTGGATGGAGTATGGTATTTGGGAAAAAGAAAAAAAAAAGGAAAAAAAGGAAAAAAAGGGAAAAAAAGGGGGGGGGGAAACGGGGAAAGGTGAGTGTTCGTCTGGGTTGGGACAAGGGCCGCCGTTTAAATATCTGAGAGTAAGCAGTTGGTGGACGATATCCCATTTAAGAAGGGGCATTGTGTTCATGTTTCGAGACAGGCAGTCATGATTCACGGCCTCGACCATTGACAGAACGCGTTTGCTCAGTCAGGTCAATGGCTGTCATGCTCTGTCGTGATCCACGGTTGCCTCGAGTTTCCCGGGGAAAGCTTAGCTTGTTGATGATTGCGGCCTGTGTTGATCATGATTGGGGCACTTGTATCATCCGGGATTTGAAGTTTGACTTGTTCCTGGACCTCTTTGCGCATCGAAGTTTAGTCGATAGGTAGTTGAGCCCGAAAGAGATAGGAGACCGTCGGTGACGAGCGGCGAGTGCCGGGGGGATTGGTTTCCATGTCCCATGAAATGGGCCAGAAACACACACTTGCCATTTCTCCTGCCATTGCCTGCTGTCAAAGAGACGATGTATAAGGTTGACTACCGCAGACACTAATCATTCCATTGAACTCCGTAACTCCCCGGTCATCCCTCATTGTGAATGAAGTTCCTGTAACCACACCTAGAAACACTCCACCCCAGCAGGCGCACCGAACCACGTCCCCAACTCATCCACATTCTCCTCTGATGAATCCCTCTTGGCCATGAAGAAGTCGGTCAGCTTTTGTGTCTCTTCGTCCTCTTCTTCCTCAGGCCAATCCACCTTTACCCCGTCCTTGGTCTCCAACATGTCTTTTGCCGTTCCCCAAGAAAACCGGCATTCTGGACCCCAACCGAAAACGGGGTGCATGTTTTGCTTGAGCCAGGTAACGCATTTGCTGTCAGAGGGGTAACCAGAGCCCCAAGCCATTGCTTCGTTTGTCTCCCCTTCCTCTTCGTCTACCTCCTCTTCATCTTCCTTCTCTGCTCCTTCTGGCGACTCGGCTTGTGTTTGTGATGGTTCGTCAGCATCCATAGCATCTGACCCATTCGTGCCTGTCGTTCCCGTCACATCCCCCCTCTCCAGCTTCGCCCGCTTTTCAACCCCAGCCTCGTCCTCCCTCTTCCTTTTCCGCATCTGCTTACTCCGATCCGCCCACAACACCTCCAGCGCAATATCCCTCGTGACCTTGGCCACTACCGACGCCGCCGATACCACAGGGTACAGCGAATCGGCCTTTTTCGCAACCGTGATCTTCGCCGTAGGAAACACTCGTTCCAGCTTCTTCTGATAAGCCGCCGGTTGCCCAATCGTATCGATAAAGATGTCCGTAACATTGACGCCCCGCTTGTAGATTCCCTTTATCAGCTCAATGGTGGCGTCCATGGCTTGTTGGTTGAGGTTGTAGATCTGGGATTTGCTGGCTTTGAGCATGCCGCTTGAAATGGACAGGGGGCTCAGCGATGATGTTGCGTAGCCGCAGTTGTCGTGAAGTTCCGTTTCTTTGGTGCAGAGCTCCTTCATTAGGGATAGACGGACGGCGGGGGTCAGGACTTTGGAATCGTCAAAGCTGTGTTTTTGTTTGAGGAGAGGGTCGGAGAGGGTGAGTGGGAGGTAGAAGGCTGAGTAAACCATGGGACCGAGGACGGGGCCGCGGCCGGCTTCGTCGACACCTAGACAGCAGGGGGTATTGTCGACGAGGAGTTGAGGAGGGACTGGCGAGAAGTAGGTTTGGGAGGCGCCGGAGAGGAGGACGGGGGGAGAGATGGTCGGGGGCAGGAAAGGCCCGGTGTCGTCTTGGGAGTCGGCCATGGTGTCGTCTTGGGAGTCGGCCATGGTGGTGGTGGTGGCTGGGGTCGATATGGGTGCTGTGGTGATTATAGGTGTTGATATCTGGTGGTAAGATGTTGAATTGGTCGTTCGATTGACGGCGGGCAGATTCGGGATGTTTGGTGGACGAGAAATGAAGATGGATGGTTGTCGCAGAAAGAAAGTTGACGTTGGGGGACGCGTCTGTGAACGCGCCGACCAATGACAAGCTCCAGGCTAAAGAGTCGATGCCCCACTCCAAGAGAGCCCAAGGTCTCCTCCGCCCTGGTCTCCCCCATCACGGTCTCTTTCCAGCGGGCAACGGCACTCGCTACAGAAGCACGACACTGGACGCCCACCATCAACAACCTACTGAACTGAACCTGGCCTCCACTGTTCCTCCTTCATTCCGTCTCCCGCACCGGCTCATTCAATTGCTGGTCGCTACCATCGCCAATTGTCCTTGCTGCCCGGCCCTGTTACTGCCCCTGCCAGACCCTGCCACGGCGCAAAGGTCAATTGTTTTGCCGACCAAGTAGAAGCCATCACCATCGCAACGACCGACAGGGCAACAGACATTAAAACCACACACATCACCGAGATGGCGCCACGGCCGTCAGGAGCGCGACGGAGTCTGTTCCCCGAGCCAGAACATGTCTACGAGTTGGGAGTTGCTGGCCGCAAGACTGGCGTCACCCTGAAAGACTCGGGCATCCGCGACGAACATGGCATGCAACCACTCGAAGACCTCTTCTCCTCTCCCCATAAGCCCACCGAGGACCGCGATGAAGCCGAAGCCGAGGACGAAGAAGATGGTGGCGCCTCGGAAGATGGCAGGGCAGATAGCGAGGACATGGACATCACCACGAGTATGTTGCCCACTCACACCAATGTTAACGCCCGGCGCGCAATTGCTAAATTTACTATCCGGTGTAACAGCCTCCGGAATCGCCCCAGCCGCTCTCCTCAATGGCATTGCTAGCCGGCTCCCTGCCCCAGTCAACCGCACCAACCGATCACCTGTCAAGGTTGTCGTCAACTCGCCCGCGCGGAACCGTCTAATGGCGCGCAGCTCATCGCCCACTCGCGGATCCCTTGGCGCCAACAAGGAAAACTACGACCGCGGTTCCTCTTCCCAGCCGGCCGAAGATATTAACACTGCTAGGCGGAGACTGAACTTTGAGGCTCTCAAGGCTGGTGGACGCTCCCTGTCTCAACCGACTACGACGAACGGCAGCAATGGGTTGAACGGATACCATGACGAAGAGGAGGAAGATGAAACCGAGAACTCTCCGGTACCTGATGAGACTGATGCCTTTATTGAGGAGTCTATGGCCATGTTGGAGGACGATGGAGAGGTTGAGGAAGAACAGTCCGTCGAACAGGAAGAGGACGAACCAGAGGCAAGCCCAGAAGTTGTGTCTGCGCCCGCGGCCAAGAAGAAGCCTGAAAGGAAACCCAAGGCCAAGGAACCCTCACCAGCACCCGCGCCGGCAAAGCGTGGACGGAAAGCTGTTGCGCCCGCGGTAGAGGAGCAGGAGCAGGAAGAACAAGAAGAAGGAGAAGAAGCACGGGAAGAACCAGAAGAGGTCGCGCCCATGGCTACTGCTAAGCGAGGAAGGGGAGCCAAGGGCAAAGGCGCAGCCGTGGAAGAACCAGCAGCACCCGCAGCCAAACCAGGCAGGAAACGGCGCACCGTGGAAGAACCCGCTACCGATACCGAAGATTCCTCCGCCAGCCGCCAATCCAAGCGCCAACGTACCACCGAGACCGCACCAGCACCCGTCACCAAGGACAGAGGAAGGCCAAAGAAGTCGCTCACTCCAGCACCAGAACAAGAAGTCGAGGAGCCAGAACCAGAACGAGTTGCTCAAGCCGGTCCCTCGCGATCCAAGGCAGCAGCCAAAGGAAAGGGTAGAGCCCCAACCCCGGCCGCCGAACCCGTCAACGCGAAGGCCACCAAAGCAACGAAACAAAAGGGTGGTCGCAAGCGCCAACCCTCTCCTCCCCCCGCCGCCGATGCGGATATCTCCATCGCCATCCCCCGCGGCCCTCCCCTGCCCAAGTCGCGTGGCCTCGTCATCAACCGCCGCGAAGTCCCAGGCGACAGCAACGCCATCATCCGCACCCGCTCCGGCCGGCACTCCTTCAAGCCCCTGGCCTACTGGCGCAACGAGCACGTCGACTACGAATACGAAGAAGACGAGTTCGTTGTCGACCACGCTCCCAAGTCTTCCCAGACCGGGTCCAAGGAGGTGCGCAAACGGAAGTTCGTCCTGCCCACCATCAAAGAAGTCGTTCGCGTGGAAGAAGAAGTCGTCAATTTCTCTCGCGGTGGTGGCCGTGGTCGTGGCAGCACCAAGCGCGCCGCCGGCAGCAACAACGCTGCTGCTGCTTCCGGTCGCCGCGCCCAACAACAACAACAACAAAAAGACGAAGATCCATCCCCGCCCGAACCATGGGAACTCAACCCCGGCATTTTGGGAGGTGACGTGGTAACCTGGTACCCGCAGCACGAGTTCCACCCTCCCGCACTAGACGACGAGGTCGAAGTCCAGGAGAAACAGCTGGCTATTTCGGGGAGAGCGATTCGCACCCAAAAAGTCAAGGACGCCGCGTTCCGGTATGCGAAAACGGTCAATGAGGGGTTCTTTGGTGCGGGCGTGGTGGATTTACCACCAGGAGCGGTCAAGAGACCAAAGAACTCGCGCAAGATGTTCATGACGTTTTTTGTGTATACCGGGCGCGTGTTGGTGACGGTTAATGAGTCGGTTTTCAGGATAGGCAAGGGGGGGATGTGGTTTGTGCCGAGGGGTGAGTTTTTTCTTTTGTCGGTTCTTTTTTTTTTTTTTTTTTCTTCCACCTAAAGGAAAGGGGATGTTGGCAATGATGATGATGATGATGATGATGATGATGATGATGATGATGATGATGATGATGATGATGATGGTGATGGTGATGCTAACGAAAGACAAAAACAAAAACAGGTAACTACTACTCAATCGAAAACGACTACGACACACCTGCTCGCGTCTTCTTCTCGCAAGGGTGCGAGGTGCAGGTTAGACCGTCTGAGGAGGGCGGCGAGGAGGGGACTGGGACTGGGACTGGGTCTGGGATTGGGACTGGGACTGGGGCAGAGAACTCCATGATAATGGATACCTCTGCTGTTGGTGCATCTTATTCTTCTGCTTGAGCTTCTGCTTCTGCTTCTGCTGAGTGGAGGAGGAAGGGATTAGAAAAGTGTGATGGGTTGTTTGTGCTGACGTTGCTTACTCGTCTAGTGTAGTCAAGGGGGGCCCGTCATGATGTGTACCTCTACCCTCTACCCTCTACCTGTCACTGGGTACGAAAAAGGCCGTGAGTGACGACCCCTTTTCTTGGTGTTAGTTCAGGCGCGGCGTGTAAAAAGGGTTGGCTGGCTGGTTATGTTGCTTTCTTTGCTCTCTTTTCTTGTTACCAGTACGCCCTTAGTTTTCGGAATGCCGTTATCAGATCTGACGCGGTTTCTTTTTGGTTAGGTTTGTTTGTTGTCAGTTGTCAGAGAACCTCTACCTTAGGTAGGTATGTTAGGTACCTACATTACTCAGCCTGGTTCTTTTTTTTTTTTAATTTTTTTTTTTCTTTTTTTTTTCTCTTTTCTTCCAAATCTTTTTTTTTTTCTTTTTTTTTCTTGGGGACGGGGAGGTGAGGCTGTACGCGCAACACAAAGTGTCAGAGAGACATGACATGACATGCAGTCAAAAGCTCCACTTGTTACGTCGTCTCCTAGGTAAGGTACTCTAGGTATTGCGTTCACTTCTGCTCTTCGCTGTGAGGTACCTTACTTACCTTACTTACTCACTTATAGGTACAAAGGAGTTCCAAAAATGCAGGCTGGTTGGAGACGCCTTTACTTTACTAGGTATATTTCACCTAGGTTCTTCTGTTATACTTATGGTATAACTTGACTGTTTTGTCGCTTTCCAACTTGGCAGTTTGGCAGTTTGTGCCTTGTGGTGCAGTGTGTGTAGGTAGACAGACAGACTTGAGTTGGCAGTGAAGTGGACGGCATGATACACACACGACAGTCATTGACTAAACCACCTATGTCGTCGTTAGAAATTGGCCAGGGCTGCTTTGTTGAGCTGAGTTGAGTTGAGTGGTTGATATAAATTAGGTATTTAGAAAACATTCCTTCGAAGAAGCAGCAGTATTCTCAGTCTCTTGAAGAAAATCGAGAGCGAGAGCGACTATCATACTCTACACTGCCTGTCTCCCTACTCGTTAAATGTTTTGTCGTGGTATAACTGAATATTATAGTAGTGCGAGAGAGCCGGGAGGCTTCCCTCCACTTGAGGCAAAGGAAATGAGAGGAGGATTCCAGAGGCGTTGAAATGCGGGCAGACAGAGGGAGGCAACGGAGGATGTGTTACTGAACTGAAAGAATGATGGAAGGTGTAGTAGGAATTCGTTGGATTTTGATGATGACGGGAGCACCTCATCTAATGTCAACTCCTAGCAATGATGGCAGCTTTTATCTTCTATCATAACCGAACTGGTGAACACAGGGGGGCGGGCGGGCAATGATGATTATTTGGAGTGTGGACGGTGCGTAGTGAATGCATCGAAATAATTGAACCTGAACCAAAAGGATTGAAACTCCTATATCTAAAACACAAATATGAATATGAACATGAAGTGTGACTTTATACCTTTCTACACCTTCGCCCCACTCATAGACACTAACACTCCTACAACTGGTGAACACATCCGCTGGCTGCTGCTACAACTCGTTACACTAACCCCCCTTCCTTCCACCTTTTGGATACCATACTGTTTCCTCCCAAACGTCCCCTACCCCTAGATATCATCCTCCGCCTCGAGCCCCGTCGCCCTCCTCTTGCCGTTGCTGTCCAGCGTATCCATGCTGATCCCAGTATCAACCCTCTGGGCCTGCTTGGGGGGCATCCCCAAAGCTCCCCTGGCTCCCTCGTGGTTCTCCAAAAAGTCCCGCAGCTTGGCCTTGCCGATCTCCACACCTTGCGTGGAAGCGGCGTTGGCCATCTGCATCATTGGCCCCAAGAGATTGAGGCTGTAGGCGACGTAGGTACCGCCGCCGGCGAGGAGGAGGAGGATGAAGAGGACTGGGTTGCGGAGGACTGGGGCGTTGTTAGTACAAGTTGATTAAATGGGGAAAGAGAGAAAAGGGGGAAGGTGAGGGACTTACCCATAACGAACTCGTTCCAACCCAGCACTAGCAACACAGCGTAGAAGTACAATGGCACCTGGGTAATACCGCCAATCGCGCTCCTCTTGGCCTCGACATACACTCCATCGGCCATCTTCTTGAACCGCACCACCAAATCCTGCCTCTTGGGCTCGCTCAAAATCGTCGTCTCCTCCTCGAGGGACTTACCCTCGTCCTCGTCAACGCCACCAATCGGCGTCAGGTCCTCCTCATCACCGGGCTCAACACCATGCGGCTGGACACCGACAAACTCGACCAAGGCCGGAGGGGCACCGGTGGACGTCAAGCGGAAGCGAGATAGTAACGGAACAAGACCGAGCGTCGACTCGCGCGCGCGCGTGTAGATGCCCTCGATGTCATCCGATGGCCGCCAGATGCGTGGAACGCCGTCTTCGTCGTACCGGAACTTATCCTCAAAGTTCTCCCGCAGCTTCATGAGGATGTTGGACTCCATCACTTCCTCCTCGATCTTCTCGCGCAGGGCGACCCACGACTTGCGGCGGAGACGCCAGAGGCCGACGTGGACTTCATCGTCGCTAGCCTCGAAGCTCTTGGCGCGGTCGGTGAACCTGCCCTCGGCTTCGCCGACAATGCCGATGAAGGCCTTCCATACGCGGTCCCAGATGTCCTTCTCGGTAGCGGGCTTCTCGCCAGACTCGGGGGCTCCCGACCCGCCCCTACCGGATCCGAGTTTGTTGAATTCCAGACCGATCGCGTCGCCAAGGCGCGACTTGACCCAACGCTCCACGCGAATCGCCAGGCGGCGCATCTCCTCCTTGCGCAAGCGCGCGGAGACTTCGTCGAGCTCCTTATCGAAGATGAGGTACTGTGGCTTAAAGTTGGACCATGCCACTCCGGGGATGGCGAGGGATTGCGCTTCCTTCTTGAAGATTTCGAGCGTCTTGGACTTTTGCTTCTCGACGATCTCGGCGAACTCGTAAGAACCGCCTTTTTGGCCCGCCTTGACAGCGTTGACGACAGCTTCCGAGAAGGCAGTTACGCCGGCCTTGTGCGCGGCAGTGAGGTGGGCTTGGTAAAGAGCCTTGAGGCGGGCATCGATCTTGTCCTCGAGCTCGGCGCGCTTGGTGGTGTACACGCCCTTGTGGTAGCGGGAGGCTTGGGTCTCAAAGTTCTTGACGCACTTCTCACGGGCTTCGGCGCCGATCTGGCCGAGATCGGGCAGGACGGCAGGCTTGCCGGCGCGGGTGGACTCGGCCTGTTGTTCTTCGAGGGGAGCGATGGCGGCGTCAAAGGCGATTTGCACTTCGCGGGCGATCTCGTCGCAGCGGAACTGCGCGAGAAGTTCTTGTTGGGTGGGCAGGTCGAGATCCTTGTTGGAGACGATCTGGTCCCAGACACCCTCGGCGTAGATGGAGAGGCCGTCGGCAGGGATGCGGCGATGGTATTCGGGGAGGAAGACGCCGCCAGTGAATTCTTGGTCGTCGCTGGAATCCGAGTCCTTGTTGCGGTGGCCGGCGGTGAAGCGCAAGCCGAGATTCTCGACCTCGGTGATGAACTTTTCGGGCTGTAGGATCTTGTGTGGGAGGGCGGCAAAGGCAAAGTCAAAGTAGTCTTCGATCTTTGAGTTTTCGAGGCCGGCGGGCTTGGAGATGGAGGACCAGATGTGGGTCAGATCTTGGATCAAGGTGTTGCGCAAGTTGGCGAGGGGAGTGACGCCGATGTGGTCGCGGATGACGAAGAAGAGGAGGGAGCGGGTTTGGTTTCTGAACCGTTAGCAGCTGATTGCTTTTAGACGCCGAACGGACACCTACTGCTTATCCTTCAAGAACAACTGCATGTTGACCTCGAAAACGGTCTTGAGCAGACCCATGTTTGCGCCCTGGTACAGACCGACCTGGTGTTCCCAGATGTTGACGATCAAGACCTCACTCGTGGCAAGGGCAAAAAGGGCGCTCTTGCGCTCGAAATCCTGATCCTCGCCGCGCTCACGACCATCGGTACCCTCGACGTCCATGACCAGGATGTTGTCGGCCATCTTTCCCTCGTTCTTGTTCTTGGACATCCAGATGCCCTTTGTGGTCTGGCGACGTTCCCTTTCGGACATGACGCTGAACTGGGTGCCGAACAGGTGGTTCAGGAGGGTCGACTTGCCGGTGGACTGGGAGCCGAAGACGGAGATGAGGTGGTAATTGAAGCCGGCCTCGGCAACGTGTGTCTCGTGGAGGTACTCATTGAGGTTGGTGTTGTACTGCTTGTCCTCGTTGATGACCTGGATGCCGTGTTCAAAATTGTGGGCGTTGCTGTCGGGCGACGAGCCGTTGCCGTTGTCGACGGCGGCGAAGTGGCCGTTCATGGCGGTGGTGATTTAGTCCGTCACCTCTCGTATGATGCGCGCGTATATGGTGTTGGTCTGCCGGGGGTGGCGGGGGTATGGGGATGGGTGGACGCGACTGGTAGAGCTGAGGGGGAAGCACCAACAGAGAAGAGAAAGAAGAAGGGGAGGAAGAAGAATGGAAGCGGTGGTGGAAATAATATTAGAAAGTTGGCTACTCGTAGAGCAAAGAAGAGAGTTGGGGGGGGGTGTGTGGTCTGATGCTGTCGTGGACCACACTCCGGACTGCCCTGAGTGTGAGGTGGTATTGAGTGCCAACTGTCAAGCAGGAGAATCGAGGCCCAAAGGGTTTCCAAGGGTGTCCAAGGGGGAAGCTGTCAATGGATTGGACGCGGGTTGCTTGCTGGTTATCGCTTCTCAGATGGAGCTCTCACAAGATGATGTGGATCACCTTTGTCGCGATCATTGTTCATTGCTGGCCTGCCACTCGCTGACAGGGGTTTGACACCCCTCGGCGGCTGCATGACATGCATTTGAACAGCTGGACAGCGGTCAATGTGGTCTGTGCGCGGCAAGCTATCCTTAACAATTGTCGCTGCAGTGGAAGATGACGTCCTTGTGAACAAGCGCCATCCAATGAATTGTGGTTTAAAAAGTCTCAGTTGAGGACTCACAAAAGAGACATCACGTTGTGGAAGATGACATTTCCACGTGTTGGATGCGAGACCACCTGGCTTCTATCACGTAAATACCCAACTTTAGCGACAACTAATCACTCGTCATTTCGTTATCAGTCTAGAACCTTTCATGGATGGCCTGGCTTCTTTGCGAAATGCGATCAACAGTAGTCACTCACAATATGGGGACAGCGTGCGACATTAGAGACCACTCACTAACAGAATTTGCAATATCTTCCTAGTAATTCTGTTAGCACTGGACCACGTTGCTTGTCCGAATCCTTGCCCCTGGTATCTCGACCCCGTCATCAAAATGGACAAACACGCTCTTCAACATGGCACATCATCCAACAACATGAGCGACTGGTATCATGCTCCATCTCACACCAATATATCTTGCTATTTCCTCAAAACCTCTTTAAACATGGAAAGGGCTGGATCCAAGGGTTCAACACGCATGAAGGAGTGTCCATTACCCCTTGGTCCTGTCTCATCCACGCCTCTTGCTATAGTATGGTAGACCATCAACGTCTTCCAAAACTTTAGGTAACATGCCATCAACAGCTACGCATACTTTGCAATCAGCGTCTTCATAATGGACATGGCGCCTTCCCGATACCCGCCTCCAAACAGCGCATAATGGTTCAGGTGGTGATACCTGTCACGCATTATTAGCTTCATTACATAACACCTTCAGGTCAGATCAACACTCACAGCTCATATAAAGCAACCCGATCCTGCCACTCCTCTTTCGGCTCCTGCTTGGGCACCAACTCCCCATACTCCTTCCAAAACCCGGCCCCAAACCCACCAAACATCTTCATTATGCCCAACTCATACTCGGAATGCCCATAAACCGCCGCCGGGTCATACACCACCTCTTCAACACCAACTCCATCAGAAAACCTACCCCGTCCCTGGTTTCCACTCCACAAATCCCCATGTATCAACACCGGCGTCACCTTCCCTATGGTCGGCACCCCTAGAAGCCTGGGCACCACCTTTGACGCAACCGCTTCCACCGCCTCGCTCAACTCTTTGTTTTTCCCGTTCTTCTTCTCGCCCTCTTTCAGCACATGGTGCAAGCGGTTATCAGCATAAAACTCGGCCCAGTCTTCTTTCCATGTATTATCCTGCTCCGTCGCGCCGCAGTACGTCGGGACGGGGAAGCCGAACATGGGCTTATCGTATCCCTCGGGGATCGGGGCGGGGGTGGTGTGCATCTTGGCCAACTTTTGAGCGAAGGATTCACCACTCCCAGAAGGGCTGCCGCTGCTGGAGCGCAGGTCAAGGAAATCAGTCACCAAGAAGTGCTGGTTGGAATTGGAGCTGGATGAGAAGGTCCCGTTGCCATAAGACCGGGGACAGAAGGTGGGAAGGATGGAGTGGATTGCGTTGAGGGAGTGGTGTTCACCGAGGAACATGGAGGCGGCGTCGGGGCCGGTGCCGGTTTTGACAAAGTATGTCCTTTTGTGGCCATCAGGGGCAGTGCTGAGGAGCTTGTAAGTGGAGGAGAAGCCGGAGCCGCCATGGGAGGTGGTGCTCGCGGAGGCCGAGTTGGGGTCAAGGCCTAGGGCGCGGAAAATGGCGGGGTCGGTGGTGGGTGACATTATGGGTTCAGATACGGGGATGGTTGCCTTTCGGATGTCGGGTTTCGGTTCGATACGTGAGGGAAACCCGTTCGTTGTGCCGTTAAACGGACGGGGCCGTTGGATATCGGAGTCGGGGAGCGGAGAGGAGGGGCTTTGGCTCGCTTGACAGCCGGGGAAGGACGGACATGCATGACGTCACGCGCCAATGCTCGCAGCGGGCAGGAGGCAGGAGCAGGCAAGAGCGGGCGCACGCCGAACGGAGGAAGGACACATGCCGAACGGACTGTGACAGCCCGAGGTTCCATTATTCCAGATATCCTGTGGGCCACTCACTCTCTTCCCTGGATTCTTCTTCGCGACAAGCATCAGTTCACAGCCGATTACCTTACCTATCCCATGGTCGCCTTCTTGTTGTTTTGAGGGCCCCCTTTTCTATTTCCCTTTACTGTTTCATTAAATAATCATTAGACTGACAAATTTGCAGCCATCATGAATCTTTTATTATCAACACTATCCCCCCTAAACCCCCATCTCCCATCTCTCTCATCGCCGAGGCGTACTCTTCCACAGTGACGGTGAAGAAGAAGCCACAGGTCACCCCGATATCATGTGCTCACCGAGATGGTGTAACCATACCCAGTCAGTCACGCTTCAGTTCTTATCAGCACTGGTAGATAAGCGAGACGTACGGCGGCGGCTGAGCAGCTGAGACACCATTACTATTTTGGTGGGAAATGAACGCCCCCAACTCTCCAGGACGTTTAAACGGGCAACCCTCGCGAACCACGTCACTACTTTAATAAAGTGTGCACCGCCCCTCCAACAAACACGGTCCGAGTCATGAGTTCCCCGATATCATCTCAGCTTGCCTCGACCGACTCACCACGGGGCTTTCAGCCATGGAGATGAGACCGGACACTACTATATGCTGCGAGCGTGCGAAAGTCTCAAATAATGCTGCTGCCTCGCAGCCTTCAACACAGAGCTGGTGTGGTTGTGTTGCACCACAGCCTGGCCTCAACAGCCACGCTTGAGAGTTCAACTATATCAACAACTCTCCTCCCCCTTTCGTCTGTTCTGTTGCTGTTCATCACATATCACCATTCAGAGATTGTCACTTTAACAGAGTACGCTTTATGCCAGGCTGAAGTTTCCGAGATGGCGCCCTCCATGATATCAAGCAGCATCTTGCGCAAACAGCCAACATCGCGTACTTCGTTGTTTGCATTCCTGTGTTTGACACTCTTTAGCCCAACAGCCTTTGCCCTAAACTTCTCTATCGAGTGCAGAGATCGGGTCTACTCCATTATCAACGGAGCAGGCGATCCATATGGTAACCTGACCGAACAAGACCTGTACCAGAACAAGTGGATTTACGAAGGCCATGTCCAAAACCTTGACGACACAATCAGGTATAACAGGAGCGCCTATATCGCGATAACGCTTGAAGGTATGGCAGTCGAGGCCTCGCATCCACTAGGCGAGACCTCATATCCATCAGTCGAGACCTGATATCCACCAGCCGAACCATTGCGTTGAACGACTTCAGTACTGACCAGATCTTTTGTATTAGGTTGCAAAAACCTCTGCCATTCCCCCATCGAGTGGTACCTCACACAAAGCCCTCCAACCCAATCCTTCAACATCGCAGCAAACTGGATCCTCCCCATCCTAGCTCTAGTGGCCTGTCTTCCCTTCGACTCGCTGCACCGGCGCGCACCCGGATCACGATGGCACAACGGACGGCTACCCACGACACTAAAAGCGATCCTCAACTGGCTCGGTTCGCCGCCTACCAGTCTCACAGCCACTCTGTGGAATGTCTACCAGATTCGTCAGTGCAAATACTACACGTTCTCAAACGGAGGCTCCCACGAACAGGCCAACCGCAGGCTTGAATACCCAAAAGCCACCTCCTATTACATCTTGAGCTGTATCAACCAGTTTGAACTGCCTACGGAACCGCAGGAAAAAGGGGAATTTGTGGAAACTCTGGTCTACGGTATCTTAAAGCCCTTGGAACATCATCACCCAAATGGACAAGGCCATGGCCAGATCGCCCAAGAAGCAGCTCGACAAGCGGTGCTCTATACAACGGAGTTGCGAGAAGCGCTGGCTTTCCAACTCCGTATGTATCGACGGCGAGGCACGTATCCGGCTGGCATTAATATTTGCGTCTTCCTGGGCGCGTTTGCCATCTCCATCGGCCTTGCGTTTGCGGATGATTTGGGTGAGTACACCACGGCGCATTCCCTTGCGCTAGGATTGCTGGTCAGTTGGTTGCCGATCCTGGTTATGTTTTGCATCGTTGATCGAAATCCTATCTCAGGGATCAGGAACAGGCGAGTCGAGTGAAGCCTTTTCGCAAAATTCTGTCGTCGAACGCTAACAAGGCAACCAACAGGGTCCTTATCCAACGATGGCTGTGGAACGTCGAAGCTGTAAAACTCTGGGAGGAAGCAAAGCGGAAAGGTCAACTCCCAAACCCGGAAGCCCAGATCGACTGGTGGAACCCAGCCAAGCAACGACGTCGCTCACAACAAGAACGCTTCTCAAACATCCGTCAACCCAATGAAACCATTCGCGTCGCCTCCACTTTCCGAATCGGCGACTTCATCGGCCAAGGCCGCAAGATGGGCTACCACGGCCTCACCTCCTCCGTTCTCTCCTCCGTCTACGACGACCGGGGAAACCGCAACAGTATCCCCGCCATCGCCGCCTCCACCACCCGCCACCTCTCTTCCACCTTCCACCGTCCCTTCGCCTGGTGGCTCTGTGCTCTTATCTCCCTCTCCCTCGTCTGGCTCGAAATCAACATGGCCCTTCTCGTCTCCTACATGACCCCGACCGTCGGCCTCTCCTGCCGTTCTGGCGCTTACCTCTGCTACGGCGTGCTGACAACCATCACCTGGTTCGTCAGCTGCTTCTTCAAGAACCCGAACCAAGCCGTTAGAATCTTCTGCCACTTCTTCAACGCCCTGGCCGTCGGCGTCCTGGGCTTCATCGTCTTTGCGCAGTTCACGGGAGTGCTGAATAACTGTGCTTGCAAGTGCGGCGTGGGCGGGTACATGAGTTTTCAGGACGCGGCGTTTTATGGGAAATATTTCCAGGTGAGGAAGTACTGGCTTATTGGCGCTTTGGTGGGCGGATTGCCGCCCGTGGTGTGTTTTGTGGTTTCCGGGGTGTGGTTGGGAAAGCTGAAAGTGTTGTGGCAGGCGAGCGAGCAGATGGAGGTTAGTTGGGAGTTGACGGAGTGGAGGGCAGAGATGGGGACGCCTGCGGCGGCTACGGGGACAGGGCCAGGGCCAGGGCCGGGAGCTGAGGCGGGACAAGGAGCTGGACCGGGATACGATGAGCAGACGAGGATTGAGGCAGACATGTCGTGGTTGACTTGAGTGGTATGTATGCTCACGAAGATTGATGGTGTGTTCTTCGTGGGATACGATTGGAGGCTTGGTCTGATGTGGATATGTTCGTGTTTGTTTTGTAGGTACCTAGGTAGGCTGGCGTTGGTCATACCCCTTTTTCGCCGCCGATTGTTTTTTTTCTTTTTCTTTTTTTTTTCTTTCTTTGCGCCTCGGTTCATGTTTATGGAAACTGCGCGGGTAAATGATCGAAAGTACCTATGTCTTTGAGAGTATTGCAGTGTGAGGAATTCCAGTGTCTTGAGGCACCTATTTGTTTGCTACCTAGGTCAGGTACCTATGGATTCTTCCTGCCGATAAACGTCGATGTAAAGACAGAGGGGCCGAAGAAATGGGATACTGTAGCCAACAGGTGTGTAGAAGGCAGAGCAGCAGAGCGTTGAGGATATGATTGACCCTCTCCGTCCTCATTTCACCCTCTCTGGTCGTTACTTTCCGCTCTGGTCAGAACTTTTTCCAGCGAAGAGGGCTATGATGGACCCCCTGGGCACTTAACAGCGGCGGGTAGAGTATCCGCCGCGGTCGACGGGCCGATCCGCGCTGACCCGGACCCGGACCTTGCGTAGTGCCCCACTCGAACTTTCCAGATTAGGTGTGTGAGTGATGACGGCACGACGACAGAATAGCTTGGGCTCTTATCCTGGATTTGCCGCCAAACCAGGGGAACAAAAGGTGCCAATCATCAATCACTTCACCGGGCAGTTTTCGATGATCACACGAGAAAACCTCTGGAAGTAGTTAAACACGGGAGTGATACCCACCGTGGTGGCTTATAGACTTGACGACTTGAGGTCTGGGGTCATTGGAATGATGAGGCTGGACATAATCTTGAGCAACTACGACTGGAAACCGAGTGCGATTTTGCGCACTTGTCGCTCGGTAGGCTGTCGTATAATGGTTATGACCGTAGGCCATGTCTTGTCGGACAAGTGGAACTCAGTCAGGTCCAACATTGAACTCACCCAGTCCACTGGGCCTTGGCTTGGTGGTCTTAGAACAGAATTTCGAAATGGAGACGATGTGGTGTTGAATTTATGGAAATGAAGATGAAGAGGGCAGAAATGAAGTTGGAAAGGGGAAGCTTGTGTGGCTGGGGGGCTGAGTTCTTTTGTTTCGGGAGGGCAACTCCGAATGCCACTGCAGTGATGATAGCTGGACTGGCGCGCCAGTGCCTTGAACGGCCCGTGCACAGGTGCCACGAACCCACGACTGTTGTTGTTGTTGTTGTTATTT